GGCAGGCCCGCGGCGGCGCGCGGTGGAGAGAGGAGGGCCGCGGGGACATGTGGCGGACGCCGGTTGGTCGCGGGCGGAGACGCGGACATGTCCGGCGGGGGAGCGGACATGTCCGGCGACGCGAGGGGAGCGGCGCTAGGGTTAGGGTAGGATTAGACCGCGAATTTGGACCGGGAGGGCATATTTATAGGTAGAGGGAGCTAGGAGACTCCAAATGAGGCACGGTTTTTGCCCACACAATCGTTATCGAACGACGGAGAGCATGGACGGGGTTAGGATGGGTTTTGGGCCACTTTGGAGGGGTGTTGGGTTGCAACACACACAAGGCCTTTTACGGTTACCCGGTCAACCGTTGGAGTATCAAATGACCTCCAAATGGCATGAAACTTGACAGGCGGTCTACCGGTGCTATACCAAGGCCGCTTGGGGAACCTCGTTCCATTTCGAGAACGTTTAACACCCGCACATGAAAAGAGGCAAAAGGGGGTGCCGAAGGACATAGGAGTGCCGGATTGCAAAACGGACAACGGGGAAAATGCTCGGATGCGTGAGACGAACACGTATGCAAAATGAAATGCAAATGATGCCATGATAAAATGCAACACGCAAGCAAATGACATGGCAACAACGACGAATAACTGGCAGACACCTGGCGCATCGAATCCGGGGCGTTACACTAAACCCTAGTTAAATGATTATGATCGTCCCTATGGATTAAACCCTCCGGTTTATATAGACACCGGAGGGGACTTGGGGTGTCCCAAGTCAGTTTACAAAGAAAGGAAACTTATACATCCTGGACGCCAAGCTTGCCATCCACGTAAAGGAGAGTCCCATCTGGACATGGGAGGAGGCCTTCTATTCTTGTATCTCCGTGGCCCATCAGTCCGGCCCATGTCACATAGACCGGCTCCCCGAGGACCCCATAATCCAGGACTCCCTCAGACGTGCTCGCGTGCGATAAAGTGTCGACGACGGGGACGTCTACCTCTGACGGCGAGTTGCAACCAAACGGAGACGACGTTTTTGCTGCCTCCGGTTCCCCCTTTATTTTTTACTGCCTGCGCACACACTGTTGTGAGGTTGATGCTCACGATGACGCAACAGTCACCATGGATGTGCCCATACAGAGCTTCCTTTTTCTGTTATGGAGTGCTGCAACCGGCCGTGGGAGATGCTACATCCGACGGCGAGGGATGTTACAACCGATAATTATTTTTGCTGGAACAAAATACTAGATTTGTTGCTATTTTTCATTTGGTGGAACCAGTGTTTAGTTTTTGTACTACTGGCACCTTCATTTGCTACTACCGGCGACGATATTTTTCTGCTACACAGTTTCGTGAAGATGATGCAACCTCGACGATGGGCGTCAACATTTTTTTTGCTGCAAACCATGCAGATTTTTGCTACAACCGGCAACAAGATTTGTTACCACCATACGCAGTGGCGGGCCGACATTTATTTTTGTTTTTGCTACAACCACATCAATTGTTTGCTGTAACTTGCAACCAAGGAAGCTACATCCGGTAAACAATTTTGCTACAACGGCGACGACGAGCGGCAGTGACGAGCTTTTTTTGTTGGAACTGATACACTTTTTTGCTACAAGCGGCCGATTTTTTTGCTACTGCCAGCACCTCGAGGGAGAGTACTTTTTTCTGTGAGGGCATCGTCGGAGGTGCTCCGACCGGTGACCGTCGCCACTAGAAGCTGTGGCCGCCTCCCCCGGAGTTGCGACCGTCGCTATGAGGAGCTGCAACCCATGGGTGAAAGCTTGCTGCATACATGGATCTAACGAGAAACATGAGAGACGATGGCAGCGACCGGCAGCGACCACGACATCCAGCAGCACGGGATGGCAGAAGGGGAGGGGGCCTAGATGAGGGGATGGTCGCCGCCGGCTGGGAGGACATCCATGCAGAAGGGGGCAGCGCTCGCGCTGCACGCGGGGAGGAAGAAGAAGATGAAAAAGTCAACGCACTCAGGATCGGACGGTTGAATCTCGATGCATCGGGCGGCTGGGGCTGGACCGGCCCAACAGTTGGGTCGGCGCACCGGCGCAGATCACTGCCCTATATCATTTGGTTTATAAAATAAGATTACTATCTTTCGTTCTTACAAAATCCCTATAGATCAAACAAGGCCCTATCTGAGTGGCGGTGACAGTGTGTTTGTATTTCTGGTGAAATATCCTAGCATGCGAAAGGAGCAGTTTATCAAAAAAAATCTTTCACTCTCAATAAGAGAAGAAAAGGTTTTTTTAAACCACAAGAAAGCGCACGCACTATTAAGCTCTCCTTCACCGCGCCCACTCCTCAGCCCACGCTCGTACTCACTCTCCTTCCCCCCATTATTCCCCCCGCCGGCCACCGCGGCCGGCTCGCCGGGCGTCCGCCGAGAGGCGTAACGGGCGATGGGGCACGGAGCCAGCTGCGGCCGCCCCAGCGAGGAGGTGGACTTCTTCGGCGCGGCACAGTCCGGCGACCTCGCCCGCCTCGCCGCCGCCGTCAGCTCCCGCCCCTCCCTCCTCCGCCGCACCACGCTCTTCGACCGCCTCTCCGCGCTTCACATCGCCGCCGCCCACGGCCACCTCCAAGTACGGTTCCCTTTGCTGCCGTGTGCTCCTCCCCGTTCAGCTTCTTGCCACCCCTGTGTATCTCCGGTGTGCTGATTCCTTTGTTTGCTTAGGTGGTTTCCATGGCATTGGATCTTTGTGTGGAGCCGGACGTCGTGAACCGCCACAAGCAGGTTCGTCACGCTTCCCCTCTTCTCTTCCCTGTCGCCCCCTCAGTGGAACGCTTGTCCTCACATCGTGGGACTTTGCCGCAGACGGCGCTGATGCTCGCGGCGATGCACGGGAGGACAGAGTGCGTGCGACGGTTGCTCGACGCCGGCGCCAATGTGAGACTCGGACAGAGCTTTGGCGATTGGGGCTGTTCTTGGAGCTTCTCCTGAACCTAATGGTGTTTTCCGTCTGGGTGTACAGATCCTGATGTTCGATTCGTCGCACGGGCGGACGTGCCTGCACTACGCGGCGTACTACGGCCACTCAGACTGCCTCCGGGCCATCCTGACGGCGGCCCGGACCGCGCCGGTGTCGCAATCCTGGTTGGCCCTTCTTCTCAGAGCCGCCATTTTTCGCCGCAACGCGCTGCGGCAGCCGCGCGCTAGCCTTTGCTAATGAGTCATCAGCTATGGTTTTGGAGGTGCAGGGGATACGCGCGGTTCGTCAATGTGCGGGATGACACCGGAGCGACGCCGCTGCACCTCGCGGCGAGGCAGGGCTGGCGCCGCTGCGTCCACGTCCTGCTGGAGAACGGCGCCATCGTGTCCGCCTCCAGCGGCGCCTTCGGGTAAAACTTCTCCCCAAGTCAAAGACCGCCCTTCTCACTCTCAGTACCTTTAGGAAGGCAAAAGCTGCGACATTGACGCGAGTGCTCGCGTTCCTGCAGATTCCCCGGGAGCACGCCGCTGCATTTGGCCGCGCGCGGCGGGAGCCTGGACTGCGTCCGCCAGCTGCTCTCCTGGGGCGCCGACCGCCTCCAGCGCGACTCCGTTGGGTGCGTTGTCATTTTCTTGCAAAAACACTACTGAATTCCAACACCACAATACCAATTCTTCAGCAAATGATCTGAAGCCATTGTGCTGGTTAGTCTAATCTACTGATGTGGATTGGTTTCTACAGGAGAATTCCATATGAGGTGGCGCTGAAGCGAGGGCATGCGGCGTGCGCGGCGCTGCTGAACCCCTCATCGGCAGAGCCCCTAGTATGGCCTTCGCCTCTCAAGTTCATCAGCGAGCTGGAGCCTGACGCCAAGGCTCTCCTGGAGGCAGCCCTGATGGAGGCCAATCGGGAGAGGGAGAAGAGGATCCTCAAAGGGGCCAAGAATTCATTGCCATCGCCGTCGCATTCAGATGACGGTGCCACCGTCTCCGAGGTACTGTTCTACCGTACTGCCCGGTCTTGCCTTGCAAATTACTACTGCTATTCCATTGCTGACCTCACACGCACGAAATAGTTCAATATAACAGTGGGAGCTTCGCCGTACCGAGCTGCCATTGTTTCTTTCCTTGGCACGGACAATATAACAGTGGGAACTTACTTACCAGCAAGTAGGTATTTTGATCGCTCTCAATCAAGATTGGTTTTCAAGGCTAGCATTATCCCAGAGCTCATCATTGCATTGCTTGTAGGAGTAGCTAACGTGCCGTCAGGTCTCAACATGGAGCCACTTGCCCACCACACCAGGAGTATATTTATGTTGATCCGAGGGACGAATGGCTAACTAATTGGGTGCAGGCGTACTACGTAATGACAAGTTAGGTGTCAAACCGTGGCAGTGGCAGCGTATGCACGCACCTGCTTGCACGAATTGCCGCACGTCTGAGCAATCCATATGCACGAAACATTATTCAAACGCGATTGCAGTACGCCTCCACATGCACGATCCCGCCTTTGCATCGACATCTCCCTCGGAGCCGGCGCGTCCGACGGTGCGGATCTTGTTCGGACCGATACTAACTCTGAGGTCGTGCAGGGCGCCGAGGTGTGCAGCATCTGCTTCGACCAGGAGTGCACGATCGAGGTCCGGGAGTGCGGGCACCAGATGTGCGCGGCGTGCACGCTGGCGCTCTGCTGCCACGCCAAGCCCAACCCGGCCACGCAGAGCCAGCCGCTGCCCACCTGCCCCTTCTGCCGCGGCGGCATCACCCGGCTGGCGGTGGCCACCAGGGCCAAGGCTGGCGACGACGACGACGACGAGGAAGGAGAAGGCAGGCTGGAGTCTCCGCGGCACCGGCGATCTCGCCGGTCCCTGAACCTCGGCAGCGGCGACGGGGGCAGCAGCAGCAGCAGCCTCATGGGCAGCATCGCCTCGTCCATCGGCAAGATGGGCCGGCGCAAAACCGACAGCAGCGAGCTGCAGGTGCAGGTCGACGACAAGCCATAGCCATGGAATGAATGCCGAGCCTCTCAGCATTCATTCATTCACTCACCGTGTTATCACGAAGCATCATAATACGTCATCGCCAATGATGGAGCTGGCTGCTACTATTTTTGTAGATTATTTTTCTTATAATTTTGGGGAGATTGGCAATTGTTCCATCTGTGTAGATTCGATCCCAAGCTGTAGGCTAGATCCAGTCAGTCCAAATAAGTGAAGAGTGCGGTCGTTGCTTGGTAGCCCCCATCCACACCCCTCGTGGAGTTGCTGAAAGGTTGTACATGTCCGGATTGAGAGGGGTTGTTGGCCCCGACATGATGATAATGAGAACCCAGTACAAATCCACCCGTGTGCTCTCCCTCTATGTAATTGGCTTTGGCTGGGGCTACGTTGCTCAGGTGTTCCCTTCCTTCAGGGTTTGTTTCTGCAAGTGTTATTTTGGGGTCCCGATTATGCTTTCTGAATCTGATGGGCACCGCGCTTAGGATCCCTCGAGCAGCAGTACAGACTGGGGACAGTGTTTTTGGCAAGTTTCCCTTTGGCTCAACTCGACTGTGCTGAGGTGGCGAAAGCACCACACCTTCATGGGCTGTCTTGTCCCCAGTCAGCATGTGTTATCTTGCACTTATGCTCAACACGGGTATGGGTGGAGTGTACCGGAAGCAGCAAAAGGCCCAGCGAAAATGAAATGAGCAGCGACATTGACTGAGCAGCAGGAGATGGGTGGAGTGTGTACCACAAGCACAAGCAGCTTGGCAGGAGCTAAACCGCAGTGTGTAGTGTAGAGTGCAGAAGGATGGCTCAGTTCGACTGGGCAAAGCATGTAGTGTAGAGAGCAGCGGGGGACAGTGGCCCTGTTTGGATCCCAGGGCTAGAGCTACTTTGAGCTACTTGGGGCTGAACTAACTCTTAAAATATCCAAACACATGGGCTAGTTTGAGTTAGATTGGAACTAACCCACAAAAAAAACTATCCCTGTGAAGAGGTGCTAATTGGAGCTAGTTGTGATGGGGCCCTAAAAAAATTCTTTTTCTGTCGCATGCAGCCGCACCGGATCCTATCCATTCGTCCCCGCTGCCTCTCGTTCTCCTCCCCTCCGATGCATCTCGTTCTCCTCCTCCCGCTGGCCCCTGTCGCCATGCATCGCCGGTCGCGTCCGCTCGCCCACACCGGCCGCGTCTGCCCGCCCCGGCCGCCCCCGTCTGCCCGCCCCCGTCCGCCTCCATCCCGTCGCACCAGTTTGTCCGCCCGTCACCGTCCCTTCCGCCTGCCCCAGCCGGCCCCGTCCGCCTCCATCCCGCCGCATCAGTCCGCCCGCCCCGTCCGCCTCCATCCCGTTCCCATCCATCCGCACCATCTTCGACGCAACCTTCGCCCGCCGCGGCACCGGTCACCCACACAAGAGCCGGTCACAACAAATCCTGGTTAAAAGAGTCAAATGATTGAAAAAAGTGCATTTATTTTCAAACTTACCCTTTCATCCAAACACCACCAAAGGCTAGAGTTAGTTTAAGGTTAGTCTAGAGTTAGAAAATAACTCTAACCTCTAACCAAGTTAGAGTATCCAAACAGGCCAGTGACACTGGGTCACTGGATCTTGCTTACTAAGGGCTGAAGCTTCAGAAAGCAGAAGAGAATTGACTTGACATCACGTCCTCAGGCTCAGGGTCAGGGGTGCCAAAACGTCTTCTTGCCAGAAATGCGAGGATGTATGTCGTGGCAGCTGCACAAGGATAGATACTGTTACACTGAGACACTGCTCATGGTCCAGAGATCAGAGGCAATTCCTACTGCTTTTCTTCCTTTGCAAGTATCTTGCTGAATGGGTGTCAAGAATCAGGATCAAAAGCAATTCAAATGAACCTACCTTTATATGCATATCGAGAGTAAGTACTCCGTTCAACCTCTGGAAGTCAAGCCAAGTCATTTTCAGACCTCGTTTCAAAAAAAAAAAGTCATTTTCAGACCTGTATGGTTGCATGCGAGCCTTGGTGTGCGTGCTGCTAGTCTGCTACCGACCGGGCAACTGCTGCCACAAATACTGACGGGATCATGGCGCCCCAGGAAAACTTGTCCAGCAAGATTGACCCGGCACAGCGCCTGATCGCTTTGCAGCTGTAGATGATAGGTCGCACTCACAGATTTGCTGCCACATCAGTGCACGATTTGAAGGAACTTAAGAAATGAAGAGTTTTTGTCTTTTCATTTGCTCTGCGAACTATTCTCTCCGTCCGGCAATGTAAGTAAGCTATGTTAGTTTGTAAAAACATCTTATATTAAGCTATCGGAACTGGTGGTGGTACTACTTCACGTCTCCCGTTCTTGGAGCGATCAAAAGAAAAGAACGGATGAATTATCAACTCCACGTTCTGACGATGTTGCACCATGATATGCAAAAGGACAAAGCTGCCTAGAACCAGAAGTAGAATGGACAGAAAGCCAATGCACCATGCTCCAAGATATCTTCGGTTGCTGAGCTGCCGTGTCAGTGATCACCTTGAGCATTGTAGTGGTACATCATAAAGGAGCCAGAAGATAAGCTGCAGATTAATCGCCGGATAAGGAGGGGAGCGAATCAATTTCCATCCCTGATACGACCAACCATCCCATTGATTGTTGAGGTCTCCAGCAGAACCCCACTGCTGCGTCCAGTTTGCACATGACGCGTTGGTTATCCGCATCGTTTTTCAGCATTTTGCGTATTTAGATCCGTTTAGGCCTGGTTGGGCTAATATAGGCAAAAAAAAATCAATTATAGTTTGGTCGTCTGCATTGCATCAAGGCCCAGATTGTGACTTGCTGTTTGATTGTCTGTGTTTGTGCTTTACAAATGAGCAGATGCAACAGCTGTTTGGCTGCGTGCAAGGAGCTGTTTTGCTCACCCCTGACAAATGTGGTGGCCTTACCACCCAACACTTCACACAAGAACAACATACCACAAACAACACATCACACAAGAACATCAGCACACATCACACAATAACTAGCAAATGCATAATAGTAGTAGGTGTAAGTTTCAATAGCAGGGCATCCCATGCCCCTGCTGGACCCTAGGGTGCTGATCCCGGGGCAAAATATTGACAAATTTTGCAGCAAAAGAGATGATCAAACTTAAATTCAGACCTAACTTAGTTCAGACTTCACACAATCTACACAGAGAACCTAGAGGGCATGACTGATGTAAACTGTGCTTTGAGCACCAGACCCTGTAGATGTTGGAGGTGCTGGCGTTGTAGATCTACACCTCCAGGTCGAGCCCGGGGAGCTGCAGAACGAGCAGGTTGCCGGGGATGATCCCGTGACGCCGACGTAAGTACTCCCAGCCCCTCCCAAGCACCATGTGCCCCTTGATCATCCGCACTTGGACTCAAAACTCCCACCACTTGTTGGCAGAGAGACTGCCGACACGAGGAGGGGCGACTACCAGCCATTTCTTCATCACCAACCTGAAGGCAGGCGGGATGAACATCATGGAGATGCTCTTCTTGTCCTTGATCTGCACGTAAAACCTGATCGGCCCCCATGCACCCTCGTGGCCGATCCTCAGCCTCCTGCCAGCTCCCAGCAACAATCTCATGGTGGCCACCCTCCCGCTCCAGCCAACGGTTGGTGGGGATGAGTTCCTTGACTTCCTCGGCGTCGATGACGACATGCACTCCTTTGTCGGCTGTGTCCCACTCCATCTTCATGATCTTGTTAATTAAGTCGATGATAATACGTAAAATAGTGATGATGATTGGCAGTTACACTAATCATTTGCAACTTTTGCTGATTAGTGGCAGTTGCATTTGGGTTGTGCTATGATCATATCATAGCACTCCACAAGTTCAACTGCCAATGATGAGTGCTACCATCAGATCATGGCAATTGCCAAATGCACATGCTCAAATTTATCCCACCACTATTTTTGGCATTCAGATTTGTCCTACTAGCATGCACATTGACGGTGTCCTGGACTAAGGGGTACCAACCCAGTTGGCTTGATGTCCATGGGCCGAGCTTATAGCCCACCAATCTCATAAGGAAGGACTCCGAAAGCCTTGATCCTGGACGTGACCAGGATGGGCTCGCCCGAAGACTTGACGTGTACTTCAAGGACCACTTTGCATGTCGACGTGTTTATCCCTAGTTGGCAACCGACCATATGTAACCCTAGCTACCCCAAGTGTCTATATAAACCGGAGGGTTTAGCCCATAGGAGGACAAATTTACTCACCTTAGGGGTAGAACACAACATATGATCTCGAGGTAGATCAAGCATGTATTCAATACATCATCATCAATATAATCAAAGCATGACGTGGGGTTTTACCTCTTTGAGAGGGCTCGAACCTGGGTAAACATTGTCTCCTTCATCTTTTGTTACCCATCGACCCGAGATCCATAGCTCGATCCCCCTACCCGATATCTGTTGGTTTTAGTACCGACACACATGCATTGTCCTACGTTGATCATGTAATCCGTAGCACCTACTGGTCATGCACACACACACACACACACACACACACCAATCTAGCAACATGCGCAAAGAACACCGGCAAAACAATAAGAACACACTATAAAATAACATTCTAGGGAGTATCAATGTGGCATGAACAGACCAATCTACCATGAGTACCCTAGGCAGTATCAATGTGACAAGAACAACAACAAATGCATCAATCTAGCATGACTATAAAGGCAGTAGCATTCTCATCTAAGCACTAGAAATATCTACATTGCTCTGATTCAACCCAAATAGACTGGATTCGAGTCGAATCAAATCCTATCCAGACGAAACAATCAAATCTGACATTGCCCTAACCATTACTTGAAGTACGCAAAGAACCCTGACCAAAAACGTGTCTACAACGAGGAACAAATCGAAGCTTACCGGAGTGGGTGCTGGTGCAACATAGGCCGACCAAGGAGAAAACCCTAGCGAGAACAGGGGTGCCACTTCCGAAGATGAGATAACCATTTCGACGGCCGCGACCGTGGTCCTTGTTGCATGCCTGCTGGAGGAT